GACACAAGATGAGAACAGAGAAAGACGCTGGTTTGAAAAAGCCTGACCTGCAGGAAGAACTCTGTGTTTGTGTCCTTGGTGCTCAACAGCATGGCGCTGGGTCCTGATGTCCCAGATGTCATGGCCAGAATAAGGGGCTTCTCAGCAATAATGACCCTCTCTTCTCCAGCTGCAATGCGTTCAATAAGCTCTCGATAGTGGCTGTACGTGGTGAGGGGGTGACGCGCTCGGAAGCCAGCAGCGTCTAACAAAGGAGCAATAAATCCAAATCACTTGAAAAACAACTAATAAAAAAATATTTCTGTTAAAATCTTTAATCTAAACATTACCAGGTTACTTTATTGACAAATTTGGTGTCAAAAAAGTCAGAAAAGACAATTAAATCAGTGCCTTACACATTTTTGAAACACTCAAACTTTTTCTTTTCAATGCATTTTGTTTTGTTATAATGATAACACATGTAAAAAACAAAAAGGAGAACAATATCAAGTGAAAAAGTATATCGTTTAAATAAGATTAAAAAAAACTCCATTATTAAATCAAACATATATCATCTTTTGTACTTAGATCTACTTAGACAAAATTTATTGTCATTTTGTACATTTTGTATTCTCAATGCTAAAATGTAAAACACCATATTTACCTCTAATTACAGCTACAAGTGTTTTTTTTTTGTTCTTTTCTCATTGGTGTTTGTAGACCAAGGCCAGCTCTGTGATTAGATCTCCTCTGGACTCAGTGCAGGTGGTGGGAAACAAAAAGATCTTAACTAAATTAACATCTCTGCTGGATAATGTTTCCCACCTCATGCATGAAGCTGTGCAGAACTGGAGAGCTCCTTCAGGGACAGACTGCTGCTCCTTAAATGCACCAGGGAGCATTATCACAGATCCTTCCTCCAAGCAGCTGTAAGAATCTATATCCGCCACTGCTCCCAATAACCTCAATAAGTTGTTACATTCATGCTGATTTTTGCACAGTTTCTACCTTAGTCAGTTTAATAACATCCTGCTGTCATTTTGCACATTGCTGATGTTGCTGCTATTTTCAAATATCCATTACTGTAAAAATGTCCATAGCTGGATATTGGTTATTTATTCTCCTGGTGCACAATATTTATATTATAAAAACACTTTACAGTACAGTATTTGATGGTTTATCTTATAAATCTAACTCTTCACTTCACTACTATGTTATTCTTATACATTTTTCTAAAATCTTTTTGCTGCTGTAAACACCAGAATATCCCCATTGTGGGACAATATAGGGATTTTTTTTTCTATTCTAAATCTACCAAGGGTCCGTTTCACTAAGCAGGTTAAACAAACTCAGATTTAAATCTTAAAACTCTGAATTGATCTAGCCTAGCTTTTGAAACTGTGAATTTTCAGTTTCCTAAAGGCTGTTGTGAGTTTGTTCAATCAACTCTGAGTATGTGCACTCAGACTTAAGCAAGTGCGTGACAAGTATGAAAGTTCATAATCAGTGGAGCCCTGATTCGATGAGTCACCATGACAACAGGCAAAAGCGAGTAAAAAGTGAAAAAACCTAATTGGAGAATGTCTTTAAAAGACAGAGCTACAGTTCTAGAGCTGCAAAGGAGAGGAAGATGGTGAAGGAGAAGATTGCTGCTATGGTTCTAATTGAAGTACAGGCCGGTATTTATTTATTTTTTTGCCAGGCCATTTTAACATTTATTAGAAGCACCCTCCTCTCTTTTGTAGATCACTAAAATAAGATTCTTCCTGGTCAAAAATCCCACACCTAGACTGAACTATAATAATAGATTTTCTAAATGACATTTTTGCAGAAAAAGCAAAATTGTACTAGTAAGAATTACCTAGAAAGGTTTACACATTCTAAGGGGTCAGTTTCATATTTATCAGCTTGACTGAATTTATGACATGTGGAAAAAAAAATTTTATCGTCAAAATAATAAAAATAATGACCTGTAATAAAATAAATAAATGCCATTCGAGCTTAATGGCAATCTCTACAGTCACCTCAACAAATGCAAACCCATTCCTATATAACTATAAATAGCTATTTCTAAGGCAAGAAAAACAGAAAGATTTAGACTTTCAGTTCACAGGTGATAATAAATAACACCTATAGTTAATTAATTACATTGATGTCTAGCCTGATAAACCAGACTAAATGTGTAGTCTGGCCCCTATAAATGAGACATTGGAAGATTGTTGATGAGAACATCCTGTTGTTTTTCAAACAATGTCTGTGCCCATTGGCCAACGCTCTGACCAATGAGCGCCACTGACTGTGACGTAGTAAGTGCGACAGGAAGCTGGTGGGGGAGTGTGAACAAACAGCCTGTTGGTAAACCGGCGAATACGTCCTTCTCAAAAAAATGAATGAGGGTAGAGCCTCTTACTGCTCATGTTTCAACGAAAAACCCAAGTTCAATCCTTCCAAAACTGATTCCAAAATGGAGTCAAAAATCCCCATCAGAGCCGGCCGCTGGAGGCGGGCTGCGGTTAGCCCTGGCAGCCGTTAGCCTTGGAGCTCCACTGGTTGCCGCGGCCCTCTCAACTTCGGAAATGTTTTTATTTTTATTTTTTTTTATTATGCATTAATTCTGTAAATGACCATATAATGATGCTTTAAAGTAAAATATTCTCGCCTCAAATGATCCTAAAACTTACTTTTATTGAACAACAGCAACAGAAAAGAGAAGTTTTAACTTTCAATGGAGCGCTCCATTGAAAGCTGTTGCTGCCGCAGTGCGTGCTGCTGTTCAATAGCTATGGCCATCTTCCTTGTTGTGCTTTTTCCAGCATCGCACAGCTTTGTCGTCACGCCCTCAAAACTCCGCCCGCTTTGCATCCAGAAATTCAAAATCTGTGTTGTGATTGGCCCGCCATATTTAGGGCCTGGGGCATTGATTGTGGCTTACAGAAGAGGATTAGGGACACTGAAAAAATAAAAAAAGTTGACTGATTTTTACATTTTATTTCAGTTTAATATGGGAAAAAAGTCAGAATTTTGAGTTTGATCTCAGAATTCTGACTTTTTTTCTCAGAATTCTGACTTTAATCTCAGAATTGTGGATCTTAGTGTAGATGGGCACCATGAAGGAAATGATGTGGGAGAGCTCAGCTTCACTGACAAAGATGTGAGTTGATTGGGAGGAACAGAAATACATTGGTGGAAAATGACGGAATTAGGCAACTTTTACGTGCCCGAGGGGTCCCCGGTGATGCTACTTCATTAATGGAAGAGCAGAAGGTGATTAAAACAAGAGAGTTTATCTCTAAAACAGATATGGCTACAGCTTGATGCTAACATGTTGGTTAGCTGTCAGAAATCAGTCAGAATTCTGAGATTAAATTCCGAATTCTGAAAAAAGTCAGAGTTCTGAGATTAAAATTAGAATTCTGACTTTTTCATCATATTATACTGAAATAAAATTTAAAAATCAGTTAACTTTTTTTATTTTTTTCAGTGGCCCTAGTTTACTAGGCTAATTGCCCTATTACACACTGAACCTTTAAAATTTTTGTCAACATAAAATACTAGAAAATGTCAATATTGTGTCACTCAGGTCCACTTTTAACACAAATTGTCAAGTATTATAATACATTTTGATTTAATTAGCACCCTGTCATGCAGAGGGACTGTTTGCTCAGGGAGATGTTATTATCTTTCTATACCCTATGCTCATCTAACCCAACTTTAAACATAGTCCCTGCCCTGTCAGCTCCCTTTGTCTTTTGATGCTGTTTGTTCAAAAATATTGTAAAGCAACCCTCTAAAGCTTCTAACAGGTGTAATAACACAGAGGGCAACTCTTTTTAGGTGACTAATAAAGACAGCTGGATGCAAAGCATTGTATTTAGGGGTATCTGGAAAGAACCCGATTTATGTCAATCTATCACATAAAATCCCAATAAAATAAATAAACATAGAAGTTTGTACGTGTTGTATAATATAACTGTGGCTTATATGTTTGATTTTGGAAAGGCACTGCATGCACAGCCTTTGCAGCCTCAACCATAACGTTACCAAAAACTACTGGTAAAACATCCAGAAGATCTCTGTTATCCCACTTTTTTGCGTTTACCGTTTATTGAGCGGAAGTCGTACTTTCTTCCATAGAAAGTATCCGCATTTTTACGCAGTCTCTTCAGTAGAGTCTCCTCCTGGACCTCCGTCACCTTCAGCGTATCTGCTTCCAGATTCTTTCGCTGTCGCCTGCCGAGCCAACCCACAGCCTTCACCGCCACATATTGGCTTAACAGACTGCCAAACGTCCGCTTGTCTCCCTTCACCTTGGAGCTAATGTCCCTCCAAAGGAGCGCCATCCCGGCCAGAGAGAGGACGCCGACCGCAGCGGGTAAAGGCGGCGGCATGGCTGTGAAACAAAAACCGGAGTTACAAAAGAAACACTGGTGTTATACAAGTATACGCCAGCAAGGGGCGCTGTTGGTCCACTTTACACCGCAACATGTTTCCCTTGCGTTTTAGGAGAAAGCTGGAATTCAGTTATAATGGCTCCATAGCCACGAATCGACATTATCATCATTATTTTCATAATTTACTACCGCCTGGTAGAGGAAACTCACCCAACGTTTGTCTGTTAATGCTGACAGCTATGGATAAAACCGCAAAACAAAGCGGAACTGCGACGCCAATCCACGAACAACCCATTTATAACAGGAAAAAAGGCTCCGAAACTCTTATTTTTTTTCACGATGTAAACAAAAACAACGTTTATTTTGCATCTGTTTGCAGGAAGTGAGAACTTTGACGTCCACTAGAAGCAATGAACAGCTTCCGTGTTTGGCTGATGTTCGCCTCGCTGACTGGTTAACGCTTTAACTCAATCGTTTCGCACAGCCAATGAAAAATATCAATAGGAACTAATAAAAATGTGCTGTGGTTTGTGATCGAAATCTGTTTACTGCTCAAATAAACACATTACATTACAATTGGTTCTAATTCAAATGTAGATACATTTATGGTACTATTGGAATAAAAGATGTTGTCAGAAGTGGGATTCGAACCCACGCCTCCAGGGGAGACTACGACCTGAACGTAGCGCCTTAGACCGCTCGGCCATCCTGACGACATGAGCAAATAGACGTGATATTTGACAGCTGTCTTAAAAGCCCCCTGAGGTATGTTTAAATGTCTTTATATAATTAATATAACAACAAGTAGCTCCGTTGGTCATATTACAATCCGTTTTCCTGGTCGATATGCAGTTGTACAGAGCGAGGCGCGCTCCCGCGACTGGGGATGCATATCTCGTCAGGCCTGCACCTTTCGGCATAACACCTGCCATAAGCACGAGAAGAATGATGGAATTGAATTATAACAGGGTTTATACAGGAGGGAGTACGGGTGGAACGGTTCACAAAATCCACGGTTCAGTTCACGGTTTCGTGGTCACGGTTTTCGGTTCGGTTTGGTATATGTTGATTGTTACACCGAAATCCCATAAAAATTAATGAAAAAATCCAAAAGTAATTATTTTTAATGATCCGCAGAAACCCTGGATCATTTCTGCATGTTTTGCTGCTTGGAATTTAATCATCTCGCGCATGCCCTCTACGATCTCCAAGGAACTGGAGATCACAAGGAACTGGAGCCACAGCGGAGGCTGTAGGCTTTGCTTTGAGCAGGAGGTCTGGAGCGCAGCGGAGCGGAGCGCTGACGGAGTATGTGGGATTTCGGGGTTAGCATGACATGTTGGTCATGTTGCTGTTAGCATAAACAAAACGTGTTGCACAATGCTTGCACACTGTTGCACTATTATCCACAACTTTTTTTCCGCCGTCATCGTAGGTCACTCTAAATGCAAAGTGGGCCCATACAGCAGACCTATAAAGTGCTGCTGGCACGTCTTCCAACTCCTGTTCTTTCCCACTCGCCATACCCACACAATTCTCCACAACTGATTTTTTTCTGCTACACCCGGCTACGCTGCTTCGCTTCTTCTTCTTGCTTACTACTGGTGGTTGGCTTTGGTCGCAGTACCGCCACCTTCTGCTCTAGAGTGTACACGCTTTGCCTATAAGAAAAAGGAGCTGCGCATGAACCGAACGCAACACACGTGAACCGAACCGAGACAGTCGAACCGAACGGTTTGGACGGTTTTCATAAACCGTTCCATCCCTAGGAAGGAGTAACTCTAATTTAATGCTTTTAAAAGCTCTTTTAATGCGCTTAAGTATATATATATATATATATATATATATATATATATATATATATATATATTTCTATATTCTACACGTCAAAAAACAGGCTACAGCCATTTCCCGAATTCCTTGTTGAAAATTAGCATTTTCCCATTCTCTAGCATTTTCTCTGCCTCAAGCTCCTTCTTTTCTAAACACACAGCTTTACAGTCAACAGAAGCATTTCCACGCAAATATATCGCAATATAATATATCTGGTGAAATTGTTTTTATAAAGTCAATACAAAAAACTGAAGCATTTTAAATTATACAATAATCACATTTAATGAATTTGAATGCCAATTAAGGTGTAATGGGTTTTGCTGTCATACTGAAGTATGATGTACGTTTTAGGACCTCCTCAGTTTACTGGAAAAAATTGTATAAAAGATGTTGTCAGAAGTGGGATTCGAACCCACGCCTCCAGGGGAGACTACGACCTGAACGTAGCGCCTTAGACCGCTCGGCCATCCTGACGATACGACACGTCATCAGACACATTTTAAAAATCCGAAAGCCCCCTGCGGTCACGACGGCCTCCATTTCTAAAGCAGAAAAATAGTCAACAGTCCATCGCATTCGTTATTTTAGTGCGTACTTTACCCTGCCTCTTGCCCATAGACTGCCAAAGATAGGCACCGGTGTTATGATGTTATGCATGCCTGCCGAGATATGCATGCCAAGTCGCGGGAGAGCGCCTCGCTCTGTACAACTGCAAATTGATGAGGAAAACGGATTAAAATATAAACAATGGAGCTACTTGTTGTTATATTAATGATAGAAAAACGTTTAAATATACCTCTCTTTGGAAAAAAAATGTGGCAAATTCATTCAAAAATACGGGTGTTATGGACAACATTAAATCCAAAGATTTTGTCCGAAGTACGGCTGATTTATCTGCTGTAGTGTCTTGTTATTCACACGCAACAATTAGCAGTGATAGCCGACGTCAGTTTTGAAACTGCAAAGCTTTGCGTTCACACCGGGGGCAGCTGGCGCGACAGAAGCAGCGAGTTTACTGAAGCAGCGCGTCGGGCGCGTTTTGGCATCTGACGCGCGTGACGCGCCGCAAACGCGTTGCTGCTCGAGATGGAAAAATTGAATTTTTGCTGCTCGACGCGCCGCGTCAACCAATCAGAGAAGCTGATCTGGGAGCTGGCTGGGAGAGAGACACAGCGCTGATGACACAGACTGCTCTGATCACTTCTCTTAAACAGTTTATTAAAGCATAATTAATTTAAAATATATACATCTGCCGGCAGAATATGTTCGCTTTTATTATTCTGGTGCCTGCAGATCGGATTATTTAGATGAAAAACACCTACCAGCCACCGCGGTAAACCGCGAGGAGGCGACCCGACCAGAGGCTGCTGATTAATGGATTCCTTCTGTCGGCGCACCGCCGGTATGTGGGGGTCTGAGCGGCTCCGACAGAAATAACAGTGGGAGGCAGGATTGTAATCTGGATGAACTGACTCCACTGATGAAGTTTTCAGGTGTATTTTCTCACTTAAAAACATATTAAAACTACTTTATTCCCACTGATCACAGCAAATATAGCTGCAAGGCAGAGAAAGGATAGTGAAGCTCCGCCCAACGCGCGTCAGAGCCACTTTTGGACCGCGCAGCGAGAGCAGCAAAGCTGCTTCAGACGCGCGTCAGAATTCACTGGTACAAGCAGCAAAAATGAAGCAGCAGACGCGATTTTGCTGCTTTTGCTGCCCCCGGTGTGAACGCAGCATACGTTAAGCGGAAAATCGAACGCGTATCTACACATCAGAGAGTTCAGTGTGATGCATTCACGGGCGTCAGATAGCTATGGTGCATTCAGGAGCATGGGACATTTCACACTTACAAGGAAAGAGGCATAAAATACTAAAACTTAAACATAATTTAATTTAAGTTCCTGTAAATTATTATTTCTTTACACTGTTCCAAGTTTAAATATTTATTCCGCTTTGTTTAGAACGACCCATGGGAAATTAAGTTTCATGTTGGATACTCAGTGCTGGAGCAAAGGTTCCAACAGGTTGCATCGCTGGATCAGAAGTATCTTGCCATAAATCACCCATTAATTATGGGCCATCATTGTTTACTATTTATTGAGATTTTTTTTGTGAGCTGAAACACAAAGGAAAAAATAAACTCAGAAACAGAATGTTACCATCATAACACATCAACTAAACAGTGAAGATTTTTCTTCACACGTTTACAAAATAAACTTGACAGTCTTTTTAGATCTAAAGCTTTCATTTCAACCATGTAAGATATTTGAATTAATCGATGTAGAAACAGTTGAATACAAACAAACATTTTAATGTTATACCTTTTAGAATCTTGTTTATAAAATTCTTTAAAATACATAAAATATGCACTCGTTTATGTTGATATATCATAACAAAATCATTAAAAGCATAAAGAGATTGTGCTTTTGGCCTCAAAAAAATTTGGAAAAATTCACAGGATGTAAATACTTCGACAAAACCTTAAACCTCAAGTTTCTACACAACCAGCACTTTTTGGAAGTGTTTTAAGGATAATAAAAACAGCATAGAAATCATATCAGGGAGCATTACCCCAAACTAATCTGAAATCTGCAGTGAGATCTGACATGTTATTTTAAAGAGCAAACCCAACTGCAGCTTCAGTAGGGAGGCCCAGACTACCCTCGCCCCAGCCACTTGGTCCAGCTCCTCCAGGGGAATCCCAAGGCGTTTTCAGGCCAGTCATTGAGAAATACTGATGCTACTTTAAGTAGGATCATTCTTTATATGCACACAATGAAAAGGAGACGGAACGGAAATGGAATGGGGCTGTAGAGGGAGAAATCAATCAGATCTTCTAGAATGTGATGACCTCCCTCACTGATTAGCTGCAGAGTTAGAAAAGCTTTCCTGGATTATTTAAAAATTAACTTGGAATGCAAACTTTCTCGCAGTGTTATCAAATGAGTCTTCTAGTCAATGAAGGCTGAAATAATACTATTGCCACCATCTGGATAAAATTATTCCCTTTTTTACAATAAAATATCATGTTACAATATAATGATTATGTAATGTCGTGAAGGGGTTTAAAAAAATTTTTGTGTGACAGCTATGCGATTCTGTATGAAGCAATGCTAAGTTAAATCTTAAGATTGTTAGAATATACTCAGTATTATTGAGTTTTGGTGATATAATTTTTTGAAATTGACATTCTTAAATATTTTTTCTTGATTTTTTTTTTTTATCAACATCATGTGTTGTCATCCTTTGGAATTATCTTGTCCTGAGCTGCAGAACATGTGATTCACTCCCATCGCCTTTCTCTGTAAATCAGTCCACAGACTGCGCTTCGCCCACTCTCTGGCACAGAACCTGATCAACCGAACAAACAGAGTTACGGTTAAACAAAGGTCACATGGATCATTCTCAGAGAAATATTTGCTGTTTTGCTCACCTGCTTCATTTCCATTGTCACAACTGCTGAGCAAAAACACATCAAGTTACATGATGCATAAAAATGAAACGACAAACAACAATTTGGTACTGATTTCAGTACCAACCTGCCCAGTAGGACGAGGGGAACTCTAATGGTCCATCCACAGACACCCCATATAGGAGCTCAGCCAGCCAGGAGACCTCAGCTGGATCATCTACAAAAACCTCTTCAGGATCTTCCTCTGCCACAAGGGTTAACATAAAATTTGCTTTATTTTGAATGAATTTAATACAAGTTTATCACTGATTTTCTTTAACTAAAACATAGTCCAAGGTAAACGTACAGGCCCTAAAAATACACTCATACTCCCTTAAAACTGAATTAGTCTTAAAGGTAAGGCATCAAAATAGGTGTTCCTCCTAATTGTCAATCATTCTGGTGATATGTTTACATAAAGCCTTCCTTTGTGCTCATCCCCATTTTCACTTACTGATGGTGAGTCTGACATAGTGGAGAAATTGCAAATCTTGTTTTAGGAAAGTAAGCTTGTAGGAGCGTTGCAAACAGCAACTTTTAAACAGAGTGTTCATGAGGATAAATGGGCTTGTGCATGTTCTTGGGTGTGGGAAATAGGTGTACCCTCGTTGGAGCTGGTACAGGGTTGTACATGTGCATTTTATTTAAAAAGGGGAGTGGGCAGGTCTTTTCCAAAATTCACAAAAATCCTCCACTATACCTTTATTGGACCACATTCTTATAGAATCCACCTGACATATTTCTGCCCACATACAGTATTTGACTTCATGTTTTCAAAGTGGTAGCTGAGTTAAAATGTTAAGTGTCAAGGCCAACCCTTTAAGGCATAGATCATCTGCACTATGGTTGAGGTTAGGGACATTTCAAATCATTATTCAATGCTAGTCTGCTTTATCTATTCCAAAACCAGTTTTGATGTGAATTTAAAGTCCATGGTAGTGTTACCTGCCTTTATTGTAGACCTTCCAGTTCACTGAAGACTTGGTGCTTCATTGGTATTAAGGACATGTTTAAAAGTTGGGCCCAATACCAAAAAATGCACCAGTTTAAATCAATGCAATTATTTTTGTTAGCGAGAGAATTACTTGGGTTATATCCGGACTGATTAGAGCTACAAAGAGTTAAATTCTCTAAGGCTCATCCATCTAAATAATAGATATAAAGAATATATATATGAGCCTGTATGCATAATGTTGACCGTGTTTTGATTAGAGAAAAAACACAATCAATTAAAGCTTATAGAAACCTTTAAATGAATGACCTATGAAATAGAAAATGACATGAAAGCAGGGATAACTTGATCAGAATGACCTGATTGGGGGCTTTGATCCTCCTCTGTTTCATCTCTGGTCCAGGCTGCTTCAATTACCTCCATGTTGCTACATTCAGAAGCAGTGAGGCTGTGACAGCAGAGTCTCTGTCTTAAGCACGCCATGTCACAGATATAAGCTTCTTTGTGGAGTTGGCTCGCTGAACAGGCATAAACATCCAAACACTGTAAATCAGGGAATTTGAAGCCCTTTTAAGAGCGCAGGTAAGGAAGTTTTAAAAAAAATAACAAAATCGGCTAACTCTGAAATGCTTCCAGTTGCTGGACGTAGCTGGCTGCATCCTTGATGTTCATGTAGAAGCGATGGCTGTCGCTCAGGTGTCTCAGAATGTGTTTAGAGTGGAAAGCTGAGTGCGTGTAATAAACAAGCTTTGATAAGCCCAGAGAGCTCATAGCAGCAATTTCAAACCTGCAGCCCTGCAGAGAAAAGAAGAAGAGTGAATAAAGAGTAGGAGCTTCTGCTGTGTAAGATTATGTAAGATCTGTAAGAGGGTGAGCGTGACACTTCTTATATTTACCTGGAAGGTAAAGTGGTTGATATCAACCCAAGTGAAAACAAACAATGCAGACTGCTTCCCTTTCACCTCCTTTGGAGAAAAAACGAAAGAAAGAAAAAAGATTGCTGAAAAAAAAAAACATAACTAAACTATTGATGTTAATCTAAATAAAAACCTTAAATCCTATAAAACAAGCTTTATAGTTTATTTCAGCTTCAATATCTGTACAAAATGTAAATACATTTATTATGGCTGTGAATGTTAAATTAATTTGTGCCCATTTATGATAAAGAGATCACACAAACAATTTTACCGTTTCACAATTATTTAGGGGCTCTCTATAATTCCCACGGGTTAAATGTAGTACAGGCACAAATAAACACATACATTACATCTAATCTTTGAATATGTGTCCCTTCATTATATATATATATATATATATATATATATATATATATATATATATATATATATATATATATATATATATATATATATATATGTATGTATAATGATGAAGAGACTATCTTTATATTACTATAAAGATACATTTTCTGGCATGATCCTGGTCTGGTATTAGATGACTGTACCAGTCAGAAATAATAGAAATTATTTAAATTTCTGTGTTTCTGGTAGAAACTAAGCACTTTAACATATTCTGTCATCCCAGAAGTTCAATGTAACCTGGCTTATACATTCAAAAGCATTTTGTTGTCGCTCCAGGAATACTGTACAGCTAAAATAGATTATGCCCACATTTTAAAGGCACAGCACAGAATTTGCAACCTAAAGGGTTTGATGCTTATGAGTTATTTTAAATGATTCCTCAGGCCAATATGCAGCACTTGACACTATCAATGCTACAAGTGGGGCTCCACTTTTGAAATACTGACAATGTAAGTTGGGGGATGACGGACCATCATTGGCCGCTTTATGGCTGCAGGCTCTTATATTGTCATGGAGCTAAGGCTTTTGTTCTAGTATTTTTTCCGCCTGCTCCACTACTGGTCATGGCTGAGGCAAGGAAAAAATGTAAACCTTCTGAGGAGGATAAAAACAGAAAATGTGAAAGGAATAATGTGCAAAGAAAAACGAGAGTCGGTCTTGGAAAGTAGTTTATAGATATCGTATAACCTATGGACAACCCACCTGATATATATGGACTCCAGTCAAGGCCACACCAAGAAGGATTGAACTTCTCGCTTCGTTTTTCTCCTGCACATTTGAGGGAATTGGAAAAACGACAGCTGAGTTCATGTGACTAATTTATGGGCAGTTTACTCTCATGATGAATTAGTAACAAAGATAGAAAAATAAATGCAGCAGCTTGTCATAGGAAACTCATATCAAAGTAAAGCTTTGCTCAGTAAGTTTCTTTGCAGCAATCATTTATGGGTAAAAACCTTTATTCATGACCTAAAAGTAATGTCAAAATCAGACCTGTTTCATCCTGTAGAAAGTCATTCCTCCATCCTGCAGGCTGCTGGCCCCTTTAATGAACTGAAGAATGGCCTGGCTGCGTGATACCCCCCTTAGCTCGCTGTGTAACACTGGACAGTGTTGGAGAATGAAGTCTCTCCCTCTGTGATTAACTAGCTAATAAACACAGAGATAATGTTAGCACAGATGTAAATGGTCAGAAGGTAATACACTAATTCTAAGTGCAGCTTTGGCTTTGGATGTTGCTTTCAAACCTCGTTTGACGCAAGATGTTTTGGACTGTCCATAAATCAATTTCTGCCTACTCTTCATGAATCTACTCTTCATATATCTACAATCTTTATGACAACATTTCTGTATAATATGTATGACCAGGATGGCCGAGTGGTTAAGGCGTTGGACTTAAGATCTAATGGACAAATGTCCTCGTGGGTTCAAACCCCACTCCTGGTAACACAGTACTTCCTTATTAGAGCATGTGGTAACTCCAGTTATGTAAGGGAGAACGGCAGCCTGGTGGTTAGAGCTTGGAGTTCTGAGTTTGAACCCCAATCCTACAGACTGCCGCTCTCTGAGCAAGACCCTTAACCCCAGGCACCCTATGATGGCAGCCCACTGCTCCCAACAAGAGGGGTTAGTTAAATAAGATTTTCCTCTAAATGCAGAGGTACATTTCTCCAATGGAGATCTATAAAGTTTAATTGAAAAAAAAGCCTCTTACAATTACTCTCTGTTTTAAAAATACTATTTATAGTCCACATGTACATGGTCTATGTGCACATGTAAAGAAATATTTATATCCTTTATAGAACTTCTGGATAGATTCAAACTGCATTACTTAACATGTTGCTTTTATGAAAGTGTAATGACAATAAAGTTGAATTCTATTATATTCCATTCTATTCTATTCTACTCAGTCAACAGTTGTAGTTTTATGAGAATTTAGATCCAGACATGAATCACAGCCACAATTCATGACAAAAGGATGTTAGATCCTCAGAAAACAATTTTTAGTTTACAAAATTATATGAGGAATCAGTGGCTTTATAAGAATTAACTCCTAAAGTCAAGAAAATTGAGAACCACGTGCAGAAACAAATTCATACATAACGATTCAGTTCAACGGTACATGGGATTGTATAATACAGGCTGGTTGGATTAAAAGCATGGATGCGGGGTATATTGACCCGAAGCTTAAAGAAGAAAAAACTAAGGCTTTAATAAAAATAGCGGATTCTTCGACAGAAAGCAAATGAGCAGACATAAATAATCAGCATTTTTTAAATCTTTAAAAAAGATTAATATAATCCTTTTGTTAATCTATTTAAAGATCTATGAAACATTTCTTTTATTTTTGAAAGAGCACAAAAAGTGCTCATGATTTGGTTTTGTTATAGGCATGTTAACAGTCAGTAAGGGTTTTTCATGCAGTCTACCTGATGTCATTACCTTATAAGCTTATCATCAGTTGTTTAAAAGGGAGAAAAGACAGAAAACATCCAAAAACAATACTTCATCCCAGCCGGTGCACTAGTTATTAATCCCCCATGTTGGATCCTTGAGATTATTTTTCCCCCTTACCCAGGCTGGAAAGTAAACCTCTGGACGAAAATATTGGGTTCTTTCTTGTTTCTCCTCCCCTTCTCCTTCTTTCTTAATCCCCTCCTGATGCTCCACATCTCCAACTTCTATCTGAAGCGCGGAAGCTGCCAGCTGGAAGAAAAGAGCTTCCTGTTTGCAGCTTTGGGAATGCAGCACTTTCTGTCTCAGCTCCCAGTAGTAAAGTTGCTGCACCTTACTGCTCCTGGAACGTGATGAGAGAGAAAGACGTCTTTCCTCGTTGACTCGAGCATCAAACAAAAATCTATAACCGAGGGGAATCCAAACTTACAATATCAGGAGCCCACTTTCCAAATAAAACTTCACTCTCAAAAATAAGATGAATGGAACCTGGAAGTACAGAATGAATAATTCAGATTTTTATTTAAAATATCGAAATATTTTAAATTATGCATAGAGAAACTAACCGTTATGGAGTCCCTGTTCCATATTTTACCAAAATATTTGCTCAGCTTTTGCTTCAAATCCAGAAACAGATATTCATTATCTTGGAACACAGAATAAAGATTATAAATGCAGGAATAGATAGAGGGGTGCTTTTTTAAACAAGATATAGTTTATATATAACCTCCTCTCATCCCAGCATTCCACAGTAAATGAAATGAACACATTTCTCCCCCCCACACACACATGAAACAACATGCCTCTGAGAACCGCCAAACCAAACACTTGGAGATCACCGACAGCAATCAGACGCAGCACAGTGTTCATCACCTCCTGGCCTCTGGCTCCCATCTGGAAATAAAAAAAATTATAATTACCCTACAGGTTTTCACCAAAAATTAGTCATTCATATTTACTCTCAATGCATTACTGTATTTGAAATCAAACAAGACGTTCTGTAATTCAAAAAAGGAGATGCTTAAAATTATTTTCATGCAGTGAGGAATTATAACCAGAGCTGTCTTACCCTGACAAAACAGTCCAGGTGTTCTTTGTTGGGCAGAAGAACGCACACGTGTCTCTTTTGTTTTGTCCTCATTGTCACAAAAGCTGCAGTTAGTCGAAGTCCTCCTTATATCCTCCTCCTGTCCTAACACCAAAGCTGGTCCTGCCTCCTCTGATTTAATTACATGCTACGTGAAAATGAGAAAACCAGTTATTGTTGGTTAATGGTTAGTTTTTACCTATAAAAGTTGGAAGAATCAGTTATGCATTAATCCATTCAAGTAATTCCAGTGTTTTTGTATAGCGCCAATTTACACTTCAACTAAAGGCACTTTACAGACACAATTTGGTTAAAGGATTTCTATCTATGGAAACCCAGCTGATTGGATCCAGTCATGTTATTTGGTTTAATAATCATCCTCCATGCGTGTATTCTTTATTGAACCACCTTTCACCATTTTGGCCAATATGTAAATTCTTATAAAACAGCCCAGATTAAATGGAGATTATCTGGATGTGAAATTTCAATTCTTGGATCCTCATTACAGTTCAGATCGTTTTTATAGTCTAACAGCTGATGTAAACTGGGCTGTAGTTTGTCCTGCTGGATCTCCACTTCAGTCTTGAATCCGGTTATCCTGCTGGATTGGAAATCAATTCTGTCCATTTTAAATCTACAATCCCAGGTTGCAGATTGGCTGGATGAACGAGTCTTGACAGGTTTATATTCTTCATTTTGAGAGAATTCTTTATAGACATGCCTCCATAAGAGCCTGTTTAATCTAATTAAAACTTCTCCACTGGCCTGTCTAGTAGGTTGCTTGATCTTAAGATTTTTGCTCATTACTTTCACAGAATATCGTCATACCACTTTTTTAGGGGTATCAGAATAAAGCGATTGAATGAAGGGGAATGCAACCCTTTTTTTTTAAGTTTATTTTCATTTATTTTTGTTAAACTATCATGAAAAATCCAAATTAAATACACTGTTGAAAATAAAAGGGATTTGAATACTTTTGCAGACATCTTTAGGTCTTCTATTCGGTATTGGGCAGCTGAAAAAAGCCTGAGTTTACTTTCTTTTTTTTTGCATGGAGAGCAAATATAATAGCAATAGCTTGTAGACGGAATAAAAATAACTATTATATGTAGTAAAAGAAAGCAAATACACTCATCTTTGTTCTATTGTTAATTTATTTAAAACATAATCCAATAATGCCATTTGTGCTTTGCTCAAAGCAACATCAAATAAAGACTGTAGTAGCTGGTGATTATCACAAAGAAACTTCCGATTTTCACCTCCTACTCCGCTTAAGGTACAATCTACAGTTTGGTTTAACTCCTACGTGAAAAATGTTCACATGCACAAAATAAAAAAAGAAGACTAGAGTTAAAAAGGCATCTGCTCTTCATATACAGGGATGTTTGACATTGAAGAATTACAGTGAGGTGTTAATTTCAGTAGCATCAAGTCCCACAACACAAAAACCAAACTGAGCTTTTCACCTACTCAGATACAGATTCACACATTCACAAACTTTACTCTAATAAATAAATGTTCTTTCTCACTTTAACTTGTTCATTTTAAGGGAACATATCACTTATAGGTGAAGCAGGGTTCAATTTGAAGAGTAACCAAAGGAATTGTACAGTGCATCCTGGACAGGGGTTTGATCTCAGTCCAGGGGGTTTGGAACAGCCTGCAGGCTCAGAAACGGCGTTTTAAACATGATCACAGATTCACTGGCTGCGTCACATCTCAGTGACGTTACATACTGGTCCGTCCTTCAACATGCTGTCCATTTCTTTTAGATAGTATACAGCTATTTGATTTTAACATAGTTGTTCTCTGTTTATACAGTAGAACTGTTTAAAATAAGCAACAAAAATTAATGTGTAGCTTCACATACACACAAAACAAAATTTAAAAAGACAATTACCGGCCAAAATGAAGCCTGCTTTCACAAAGATTCAGTCTTTATACACTTTAAACCAAGTACCACAAAACGATTTCCACTTTTTCACCCCTTTAGAAAACTCCTTCCCGCTCCGCCTTTGAACATGCTAACACACATGATGGATATTTCACACTGATGTTCAATTTCAAATGAAAAAAATATCTGAATTATTCAAGAACAAAAGCAAAAATACACACCTTTTCATCTTAAGAAAAATCTTGTTTTGTCATTTGCATGCAGCAGTTTAGCACAGCATAACTTCAAACTGAATTGTCGTATTTTCATCACCTTATTAATAGAAAGGAAATGCTCTGTATTTAACAGACAATTTGATCTGGGTTTGTGGAAAGTTCAAATTTCTAAATATTTGTTCACTTAACAACCAAAAATAGTAACACGGACATTGTAATTGTTATTATCTTTGTTCCACACTCTTGTTCAACATTATTCTCTCCTTAAAAAAAAAAAAAGCAGACAGATATTCTTTTCAACAAGCTTTAAGTCTCAAATGCCCACCAGATGAGGAAATTTCCCCTTTTTTAGCAATGGTTTCATTGAACATGTGGATAAAAAAAAAACTGAATTAAAATACCCCTCTTCGAGAAGTTTCTGAGGTGACGTGGGTGGATGTGATGGCTGGTGTTGATTATTTCAAGAGCTGCGTGACCCTACATTCATTGAAAAGTTCTTGCAAAAAACTATTAGTGATTACAAGTCTCCATAAAAGTGTAGCTGAATGCACTTAAGAGAACAGTTGTTAAATGCACTTAACAAACCACCTCCATTCAGTCCACTGCTGAATAAATTTGAAGAGATGCGTCCCCGTAAATCAGAAAATCACTGAAAAGGTGTTTTATGTAAGGAACTTATATACATAAATAAAACATATATATTAAGTGTTTATTTCTGGTCTATTTGATGGAAAATCTGTAATTAAAAACAATGATTTTTAAGTACATTCCATAAGTTGAGTTGTTCTATAACCTTTTTGAAAAATGACTATCATCTTTTTAGATGAGAGAAAGAGTGAAAAGAAAGATTACGAGCCGTTTGTGGTTCAGCTTCCAGTCAGTGATGATTTAGGAAGCCCTTTCAACATCAGAATTACTATTATTTATTTTCCAGCAGGATTTGGTACCTGCCTACTATGCCAAAGGCAATCTGAGCTAAAACCAATAGAGTATCTATGAAGTACTGTCCAGCCAAAGATTAGAGACAGTAGATCAAACAACAGAGATGAACTAAAGGTCAAGATTAAACTAACCTGGCCTCGTCTCCAGGTAACATTGCATTGGTTAAGTACTGGTTGAAAAGTACAGTCTACTGTACAGGGACATCCTCTACAGTAGGTTGCCATCACCGTGTAACATTTCATTAAGGATCTTAGCAAACATTTAATTTTCTTCTGAGAATGTTTAGGGTTTTCATTCATCTAAGCCATAAAAATTCTAACAGACAGAAATAAACACTGAAAATATGGCAGTGGGAAATGAATCTAAATTGGAATTCTAATTAAAACCCCTAAATTACTGAAAGTAAAAGAATTGACAAACATACTGTGATATATTGAGACGCCCTTTCTGTATTTCACTACAGCTTGCAGCAGATTGCTTTCAGAACTTGAACTGTACAGAACTCTTGACACATTTTTTTTGTTTGTGTTGAAATATCTGAATATTTACATGTAGCTGGGACGCCATCTCTCAGCCAAGAAAAATTCAACTGCTATTGAGCCTCAGATTGTGCGCATTTATAAGCACTACAGCTGAGTTACTGTCCTTTTGACCTATGTACAAGATTTAAAAAAACGAACAAAACAAAAACACTTTGCATGAAACTACATTATTTTCTGTACCTAAAGAGCACTAAAGTCATTTTAGCAGCTTTTACATACAAGCAGAAAGAATCCATATATGATTCTCCTGTTTGTTATTTCCTATGCATATTTTACTTGTTTACTTGAATGAAAGGCAGCTTCCTTTGTTCAGATTGCTTTTTTTCTTCTTTTGTTTACACTTCAAATATTTGACCACATCAAAATGTTTTGACTGCGTGGTTAACGTTGCTAAAGATTCCTAGAGGTACCTCTGCAGATATTTGTACATGCCTGTTATCGGCTGGCTGGAAAGAAAAACAGGAAGACTGGCTTCAAGTCTCTTTCAGCTGTCAGCGAATAGTTAGCGGCCGAAGCGTGAAGGCACTTCCTGGTAAAGCTTTCCACAGATAGCACCTGGGACTTTTTTGAAGTATCCAGTAGAAGCCCTTTATTACGTGAGGACGCTGGGGTTTTAGAAGTGCCCCAGTCACAGAAGGGTGAAGCTTAAGATGTACTGAAGGAGTTTGTTCCTGTTGGCCTGAGGTTGAAAGGTGCTGCTGAGCTCCACAACTGTTACTCTGTTCTCTCTTCTTTCCTTTAGGACCTAAAGAATCATCCAAACATAGAAGATGAAAGTTAAAACAAGATCGGCAGAAATCTTACACTTTATATGAATGAACAGCGCTTATCAAATATGCATACCCCGAGCTCTTTGAATGTCTTTACTGTGTTCTTCACCAGATAATGAGTCGCACTTTCACCTGGAAAAGGAAAACAAAAGTGAGCCAAAAAAAACAAAAAACAAGAACATATTTTAATCCCTTTGGTTTATAACATTTTAGGAATTCAAACTGCAATGAGCTGCTTAAACCAAGAACTCTATGAAACTGATTTAAACTTTCAAACAAAGTGAACACATTCTTTAACCTAAAGAGCATAAAACCCATAAAGACTTTCATTGAAATAAGTAAAAGTGACTTGGGTTCATTTAAAATGTTAAAAGAGATTTTAATGTAAAATTTAAATCTCTAGAAATGTATATCACATTGCATTAAATGGGACATAGGGCTACAGAGTCTCTCTGAGGACTTTTGATAATGGAGTTTAAGAAAACAGGAGCTATTCTTAATTCATTTCCTTTATAAAGCCGATTTCCCATCCAGTTTTTTTTTTTTTAAACCGAATTGATCTGCTAACAATGGGCTCTTGACTTTTTTCCCATTTGACAGAAAAGCTGGATATGACCCCCTGCTGGGAAACTGCGTGGTCACTTCCCCACACCACTGCGTGTCTGATGACTGCATCACGCTGGGTGAGCATTGATGATGCGCGACAGAAATCAGGGAAGTAAATAATGGAGAGCAACATGGATGGGAGCCAGAGCGTAGTGAGTATTCTTTAATACTTCGCTCTTTTATTTGTCCAAATCCCTCTCACCAGTTCTGCGCCATGTTTACTGAATGTAGTAGTTTCGGCTTGTTAGATCAGATGCGACTGGCGCGGTGTGTTGATGTCCGTAGTGTGCACTCAATGGTGTCACATATTTAGCAGGTAAACCCGGTTCTTATGTTCCCACAGCATGCCAACCAGAGTTGAGGCGATTTTAAAGCGGGTCATCAGCCGAGTCGTTTTAACCCGGTTAGACAAGCATCAGTGAGTTGTTCCCACTGCCACTAAAACCTGATTGTTCCCGGGTTTAAACATGTTCCTAACATGGTTTTTTTTTTGTGGTTAAAGAAACAAAAACCCACAGAGGGTTGACTTCCCTCCTTATAAACCCAGCCCTTTGATCTGCACTGTGGATATAAATGAGTCAGCATCATGTCTCATCACACAAACAGGCTCAGAGAGAAGCAGTATAAATTCTCCTTCACTGACCTTTTTTATGTGAATCCTGAACTAAAGGCTACACTCACAAGACACCTATTTTTAGAGGACTTTAAATTTGTTAGATTAAAAGCTTAAAATGCCAAATCTGTGGTTATAAGAGTCTCTTTACGCTCAGCTCAGCTATTTAGCCTGTATGGTCTTGCACTGCGACCTGGATTCAGATCAACTTCCTGTTTGGTCCAGACCAGACTTTGAAAGGACGATCTTTATAACTGTTCCCTGTTCAAAGATTCTCTAACAAAAATTCGATTAAATAAGTCTCTAGATCAGCTTTTTCGATCAGAATTATGTTGTCTCAGAATTACTTTTCAAAAACACTTGAATATTTATACAATTTCAGTTTCATTACCAATATCTATATATTACAATGTGCAATGCAATTAACTAAGGAGGTAACATTTATCATTTCCTGTTAAGTGGCAAATCTTCTTTTCAAAATGGAGATGGAGAGGCTAAGATATGCATGCACTAACTGACAGATGGGCAAACAGATGTGTTGGTGGATGATTAAACCAATATCTATGATTGCAATGAAGACTATGGCCTTTTTTTTTTTTTTGTTTCCAGGAAGTGTAGTATGTGTGAAGTATTACCATAAGCAGCCACTTCTCTCTCTGTCCGCGTGAGCAGGTATCTGAAGAGCCTCAGAGTGTAGTCAGACTCAGGCACAGGTTGACTCAAACTGTGAACAAAAACTGCAGCCCCGCTGTAGGCCTCCAGCACTGGACTGAGCAGTCGCTGCAGGAAAATGAAGAACTCCTGGTGCTCAGCTGACAGGCTCACCTAATTTATAAAAGGAAAGCTCATGTAGATGATGCTCGACAGTCAGTTCAAAAGTTGTGAACAGAAACCTGAGCCACAACATCCAAGCGACAAAATCCAAGCGGACCTTTAAGTAGCGATCTCGCTGCTCCTCTCCAAAGTCGCTGTCTTCATCCTCTTCATCACTCCTCCAGGAGAGGGGCTCAGAAAACTTTTTAGGCCATGGCTCTTCTGTTGGACTGGAGCTCAGCTCCTCCTGGTCCTCCTGAAGCACAAGGACAAATAAGAATCCCTGTACAGTAAACACCTTCGCTCCTCGGAGAGGTTTATCATTATTTTTCTCTGGAATTATCACTTTTTGTCCAACAGATGAACAATCAAGTGTTTAAACTTACATCTGCCACATAGAGGACTCCATACTGGATCAGTCGGGTCACTGCATCGCTCAGAACTTGATAAATAGTCTGACAGGGCTACAGGAAGGAGAAGAGAAAAGGTTTTTTTTTTATTATGAAACCCCAGTATAAGAAATTTGTAAACTTAATTTAAAAAGTAAAGCTGAACAAATTGAAACAGATGTAATTTAAAGAACACAATGCAACTTTTTGAGAAATGCTACCCATTGTTTGGACTTACAGGTGCCACAGCCACCTCATTGGTTAGGAACTGGGAGAGACCTGCAGCCTTGTGGATGAGTCGCTCCTGGCTCAGTAGAAGGCTGCTGCGATCTTTGGGTCGGTGAGCAGACTCTGTCATCAGCTCTCGCTGCAGTGACAGGATGCTGCAGGCTGCAAACCAAACAAGTTATTGAATAATCAAAAGATAAGGCAGCTTCACGACACAAACAAAAAACAATTGCTAATCATACCAATGATTGCATCAGGAATAAAGACGTGGAAAAGGCCGTTGCTGTAAAAGTTGAGCTCGAAAAGCGCAGGTACGGTTTGGCAGGGAGCGATGGTAAACTCTCCGTTGCGGTTGGCGCTGCTGGTCACGTTGACACATTTTTCCAGAAGGTGGAGGGCACGCATGACCACGTCCTCAGAGTTACCTGAAAAACCCAGGTCAAAGTCCCGGGACAGGATCTCTTCCTTCATGTTGAAGAAATCCTCAACAAGCTTGGACAAAACTACCCCCTAAAAAAAAAAAAAGAAAGAAAGAAAAAAAGAGATTGACAAACTGATTTATGAGGATTTTAAAAAAACACGATAAAACTGTGTACCAGCAGAGGGCAGCCATGTGCCACTAATGTGTAGGAATGGTGCAAACCGATTAAACCAATTAAGGGAGGATTTATGTTTTCTGCTATAAAGTATTCATACCTCTATAACTTTTCACATTTTCCCATGGAACAACTATAACTCAAAATCAATTTTAAGGAGTGTAACCTGATAGACCAGCACAAAGTCGCTAAAAATCATGAGGGGAATTTTATATCTAGAGACAAACCTATCAGCTGAATGCCTTTATGAGTGGCCTAAGGACCAAACAGAGTCTGCCTGTTGATAATATTACCTCAGTATTAATGTATCTGGTCTGTGAAGGCCTAAAATAAAATAAAAAATGTATAAAATAATATCACCTTGAACAATCGGGATAAGGCCAATAAGTCAGAGATAAATGTGAAATTTAAAGTATAGCAGTTTAAAATCTCTCTTTAATCTATCTTAAATCTCACAAGACAGAGCTCAGATGTTCCCTCTACCAATGTGGCCTGTATGAATGTGCAGAACAAATGTGAAATCTAAAAATTTGATGAAAGAAGATGGTTGAGTTTATGGTGGTAGTGATGTTTGAGGGAAAAAAACACATGACAATACAGAGAGAAACCCTTTTACAGGCTGCAGAAGATTTAAGTGATCCAATTGGATGAATTAACCATATATCTCGCCATGTGAGTGAATAGCTTTAGCCTTGACAAAGGCATTGTTAAATAAAGGTAACAAATTAACACAGATATATTTGATCTTTTCTCCATATTAGGAGGAGATGTTCATATTGCTGCTAAATATGCAAATTATTAGATTGATCCAGCAACAGCGTGCTGATCCAGATGCAGCCTCAGGGTGGTAGGGGGGGTCACACTTGCAGCAATGAAGCTGCATTTTAATGTGTAAAAAAAATAAATAAACTGATTATCAGCTGGTTTGGCTTGCCATACCAGCTGTTTGGAAATCATTCCAAACCTTGACACTCCACCCCTGAACTCAATGCTTTCTCTGTCTGTTAGCGGGGCGGGAGCGCATGCGTTCACCTGCCTGCAGGTTCTTATTCACTTAGGGTGAGTTTGAGTCGATGAAAGTCTGAAGGGCGTGGGGCGGGCATGTTGTCTTAACACCGCTTTTTCATGTAGGTGTGCACATAAGGAAGTAAATACATTTTAAAACGCAGTTTCTCAAGCCGTTACACTCATTTAGCATATCTGCCTAATCTTAGGGTGATTTAGTTTACTTTCAGTGTAACCAGCTGCTGGCTGATATACACTGGACAAATCCCTGAGAGAGAGAGGCATAGATGTGAGTCAACAGGCCAAATACACTTATAAATAATGAGCCTATCTGCCCATTTTTCTCTGAATAGGGATGATAACTTTCAGTGTATCCCCTTGTTACACGGAACTGCTGCTAGTGAGATCCCTGCATAAAAGTTAGCAGCTATGGAAAAGTTCAAAAGGGATGAATACTGAAGAGAACATGATCCTTACCAGGAAAAAGGAATGAAGAAAAACTGATAGAAGCTCGAAGGAACACAACCAGAAAGAGAGATAAGGAGACAAAAAATAAAAAAGCCAGACTTACCTGCCTGTGTCGGTACAGAAGCAGGCAGGCCACAATGTGGGTCGACATGATCGCTGATGATTTGTTAGCCGCTGTGAGAGAAGAGAACACATTGCCATGACCAATGACAGGGAGAAGATAGAGCCATTTAATTTTCTTATATCATCAACAAAAGGCCTTTATACATTTTAAGGAGAAACAAATAATACTATAAAACGTCATGAAAAGGATTCTAAAAAGTTAAATTTTAGTGGCTTTGTTTAATTCAATGAAGTCTAATTATGATAATCCATTATTCAGCATTTTTAAAGCCCTACAGAGTCAATATCTACTGTGAAAAGGGCTTTGTAAGACACATTGAAAATGAAATTCTCCAGTGAGAAGTTAGAGGATTGATAACCCTCTGGTAGAAGCAGAATCACAGCTGGAGAAAACCTGCTTCAACTGGTTTGGCGGAGAGGTGTATCTGCAAAGCGTTAGTACAGATAACCTTGAATCTTTGCTCTGAATATCAGGATGTCAAACTGATCCGATTTTTTCCCTGCAAACATATTAAAGAGATAAAAGCTCATGTGTTTTAGCAAGGTACGTGTTACTAGAGTTTATCTCCAGCATAGTGAACACAAAATCTGGCATTGCATTCTTCTGGTTTCTCTCCTCCCCTTCTCCCTATTGGCTAAAAACAACACACCATCCAGCTGACTGCTGTGCAATTGGATGAACAATAAATGACAAAAAAAAAAAAGCTGGCGCCTAAGCATGCATCTGAATGAGAAGAGGAGAACCAGTCACTGCAATGTTACCCCAGGGCAAAGCACCCTGAGTGATGTGATCCTGATGGGCTGATGCTGTACTATGCAGTGCTGGATTTCAATTAGGATGAAAGGTCGTATTTCATGAGGGTTTCCTTTGTAGACAGGTGCAGCTTTAAAGAGGGATGAAAAGGAGACTTGTGTATTCACAGAAGAGTGAATAAAAACTAAACATGCCACCCAATAGCTTTTACAAATCAGATGGGACTCTATTTGAGGGTATAATAGGTTCCTCCAAAGGCTGCAGCAAAAGAACTAATATTAGTTGATAAAGTTCTTACTGAAGAGGACATGCTTGGCCAGGTTGTTGATGACATGTCGTCTAAAGAGCTCGTCAGGGACCTCTCTGTCCATCTCCTCCTCCTCCTGCTCTTCAAACTGACCATCAGGCCTGAAGAACAACAAAGTTTGGTGCATGTCAACAACTTAGGATCATTTATCGCTAGAATTCAATTCAAACACTAATTGGGGCTATATAGTCATTACAGATAAGATTGATATATTTTCAGAATTTAAAATGAAAAGCAGGATCCTGGATGGCTGGACATGAAATACACAACAACAGAGAAAAAACGTTTGTATTCAGTGAGGAGGCACCATATATCAGCAGTCACACTCTGCAAACATGATCCTGAGTTTCACCTTTCTTTATTTCCTTTCTCTGGCCTGTCTCAACCTGTCCAGACCAGCCATATCACTCACAGAATGGCTGAGTGATCGGAATGGCATGTGAATGCTAACTTGTACTCGATGCAATTTCTTATAGTGGTATAAACTGAAACAAATCCAAAGACTGAGTATGAGACTTCAGACTCAAGGAACATTCTGTTCAGCCGTTTCTGTTCTACTAAGACTGGACTACTCTGAACTAGAATAACCTCTCCCAGTGGAAAGTTGAGGGCTGATCTCACATGTCGAATGACAGAGACCGCTGTGAAGCAGCAGGAGGGAGAAATTAGCTTTGGATATAAAGGTTGTCGCGCACAAGACGAAGGGACATCTGGTTTCTGAATAAACAAGGGGCGGATTAAAAACACCACCGTCGCTCTGAAAGACTCTGTGCCAAATATGGAAAGTGCCTTACTGTGCAGAAATGATGTATGGCATCAAGGCATTTTCGAGAGACACTGGTGGGGGAATATGACGGCTCCTCTGGGTGTCCAAGTACTCCTAAACTCACCAAGAAGCAGATAGGCATAAGTCTTTGGAATACACATTATACGCTATAATCTTGAATTTGATGATTAGAAAGAAAAAAAAAATAATCAGACATTGTATTTGAAGCAAGCTCCTTAACAAATTTGTTACAAAACCCTTAATTAAAAAAAGGCTACTAATCAAAGCGTTCATTATGCCATGCAGCTTTGGAAACAAAACAAATCTGTAGCATTGTAATTCCTCCACCACACAAAATACTCACAAAGATTTGTTTTCTTTATTAACCCTTTATTTTAAGCCTGAAGGGTTTGTTGCTCAAAACCAATCTTAGTCTCACAAAGCAAAGCCCACATTTCCAGTCGAAATTTCAGCTGAGTTTGTTTCTTACATCCCTTGCATTTGTGATGTAAGAAACAAAAGATTTTGTTCTATCGCTGCATGCATTTCAAACAATGTCTATAGAGGCACATCACTACAAAAGCATCTACAAAAATTAATATATGAATAATCTAAAACCCATTATCGCTTGATCATTGTTAAAATAATTGTTAATTATAAAAAGAACTTGTTTTATTCATTTTAAGGAAACTACAAGGAGGTTAAAAAAATTTCACATCTATTCTGTCATATATAGAAATTTGTGTATAGAACAAATTGTGATTGCACTGCTGGCAATAAGGTTGGTACAAATCTAAAAGTAATCACCTTTAGGGAGAAGGGCTGGTTGAAATCCACTCGAACACAACCATAGTTCTTCCTTAGCATCCTAAATACCCCACAGGCTATCCCCCACCAACTCTCATTCTTCTTGGGTTTCCCCTGAGGAACAGAAAGGATAACACAATTAAAATCTGGATTTGGCAATTATAGCGGTAGTTATATCTTAATAAATATCTAAATAAAGTATCTGGATAAAACCTGTCGTTGTCAAAGCAAGAAGCACAGAGATCATCCAAGAGCTTACCAGCTGCTCACTATTGTAGTTGCCTTCAATAATTCGGTCATATGAGATGCCAACTGGCACGACCAGCACGTCTCCGATTGCCCCTGTGTACAGCGTGTCGACCACGATGGAGAGCATGCCTGCACGTGCTGAAAGGGGCTTACCGCTGCGGGACCGGGTACCCTCCAGAAAGACCTCCAAAAACTGCTGCTGCCTTAATAACTCCTCTGTGTACTGCAGGAGGATTGAAACAAAGGGCACATGGGAGAGGAGTGAGCCAAAGGTGAATGAAACAAAGCATCCATATAAAGTACTGTTAAAAGCTTATGTTTATTTATTTAAAGTAGCAAATTAACCCCATGCTAATGTGGAAGCTGAGTGTAAAGAGTAAATTTATGTGATATAGTTTAGTGTTTGAATATAAGAAAAATAAACACTAAACGGAACGATTTCACTCTTTGCAGTGACTCCAGCACGTTCAGGAAGCAGCTAGACAGCATAAAAATATCCCTCTGGGTTTAGTATAGACACAGCTGTCTTCAAAGAAGGGAATTTGCTTCCTGGAATATAACGCATATAAGGTCATCAAGTTCAAATTGCAAACAGAAAGAACATCCAGGCTCTAAGTTAGCCATTTTTTCTCCTCACTGCCTATATTTCACCCCTTCAAAGAAAATGCTTAAATGCTTACATTTCAACATGCCTTAAACCAAAAACGTATCTGCCTGATAACATTTCAAATGATGACCTGCTGAAACATTGCATAAAAAAATAGTAATGTAACAGAAAAAAAAGAAAAGAAAAAAAAACTGGAGCTCATCATTTTCTGCAGCTGCTTATGTGTCTTATAGATAACTCTTATCTAAGAGATAACATGTACCATTAGCGCGGCTGGCCTTTTTAAACATAACCATTTGCCAGTTCAGCTACGATTAACTCAAACAATTGAGTGAATCAGCTCTATATCGGGATCTTACAATGTACCATCAAAGTACTTAGACCCCTTGAATGTATTGATTTTCTTCCCCTTGCAATGATGAAAAGATGATGAAAAGGATTTTATTTTAGACAATTTGAATAATAAATAAATCAACTAAAAAAAATACTTCAAACAAAAAACAACCAAATACACACAAAAAGAGATTGGTTAACATTTAATTAATTAATTAATTTTCATATAAATTAAAAATAATTTGAACATAATTAGAAACAACATTTTCCACTAAATAAACTAGTCAGTATATATAGTCAGAGAACTGATACTGATTAATGTAAATTATAAATAGTAAATATCAATTCCAGTGTATTTCATTTGGTAAACAAACAAAAAGCAGAACTTAATTGCAAAGTTCAGGCAATGGACTTATTTTAGCTAATTATTTGTAAAATAGCTTCAGTTGTTTCCGGTTAAAGAGGGAGAATCTAAAAATCCCAAGTTTTTAAGTCTTGTCACAGTTCTCTTCAATAAATATAGGCCTGGACTTTGACTAGGTCACTTTGCTACATGAATGTTTGAATCTAAGTCTTATATTCCGGGATTTTCTTGGAGTTAGTTCAATTCATATTCTCATCCGCTTTCAACAGATCTTATATCCCTGTAGAGAAGAATCCCCAAAGCATGATGCACCTACCACCGTGGGTTACCATGGGAATGATGTGTTCATGCCAGTATGTAATGCAGTGACCTTAGAACCTTTATCCATACCACTAATATTCATCATGCATCTCGGATGCTTGTTTCTGTTCTCAGATTGAGGCTTTATCTACTCTTTACTGCATTGAAAACATTGCAGAATTTTTTATTAACAATTAAGCAATAATTTGTGTCTGGATGATGCATAAATTCCTGCTCAGATTAGGGCCGGGCAGTCAATCTAAATCAGCATATATCAGGTGTGTATAGGACAGACATCTGATCAATAACAAATAAAATATGTCGGATAAAGTGTTTCAAAACAATTTCAATGAACTTCGATCCAGAACCACATGTTACCCTCAGGGATAGAGGGATTAGCCTCTCACAGCCAAACTAAGCCAGGCTAGTAGTAGGGCCAACCTATTTTAAAGGTTAAAGGTCATGTTGTAATATGGTAAGGGTTGCAATCTAAACTCAGGCCTCTTTCCTCAGGTCCTTATTCCAAATAAGTGAACAAATAAAAGCAAAATCAATAATTATGAACATGACAGGCTTACGTCCTTTTTCAGCCATATTACACAGCTCTAACTTAAATACAGCAATGCTTTTAGACACTGAAGTTTGTAGTTGGAATGTGAATAAAATGCAAAAAAAATGTTTACTCAACTTTGAGCCACACTTGTTTGAAGCTACTTAAAGCACTAAAAAAGTTTTTTTTTTCACATTGCTGTCCTTTACTATAGTACTCAAACTGGTTTTCTGAGCAGCAGAAACCTGCTAATCAGTACTATCTGACTGAACAAAAATTCTTCCCCTTCAGGCTCTGGTTTAACTGGTCTCTCTTATTTCTTAGAAACCTTATTGATCCTGAAGGCACAAATCCAGACACTGAAAAGCTGAAACCTTTAAATGTTTCAAACATTTAAAGGTTAAACTTAAGGATGCTGATACAACTAAACATACAATAGATAAAAAAGTGCTAGATAAAAAATGTCAGAAGATGCAAAACTCCTCCCTTGATTGGTCAAAAACCAGGATCAAGTTTACTAAAATAAAGATCAGAGACATTTTCAGATGTCAGAGGTGTTGCTCATACTGCAAATGTAAAAAAATATATATATTTTTTATAAGATTTAAATATGAATAAACTAAAAGTGCAGGTTGTGTGTTGAGATAATATCAAATGTTTAATCTCTCATTAATGCATACTAAAAAGTGCTCCATGCACAGAAGCATAAACAACAGCTTTCATGTGTGAAAAGAAAAAGGACTTACGGCATGGAGGAGCGACCTGTACAAAATGTCTTTCTTTCCATCCCTCGTCTCCTCCATTCTCCGCCGTATGAAAAATCCACCAAGTTTACGGATCACAGTGCTGGAAACAAAGGGACATTTTGCTAATTACTCCAACTTAATCTTTTTACTCACCAAGAGTCTTTCTAATACAGGTGCTGGTCATAAAATTAGAATATCATGAAAAAGTAGATTGATTTCAGTAATTCCATTTAAAAAGTGAAACTTGTATATTATATTCATACATTACATACAAACTCATATATTTCAGATGTTTATTTTGTTTAATTTTGATGATTACAAATGACAACAAATGAAAATCTCAAATTCATCATATCAGAAAATTAGAATATTGTGAAAAGGTTCAAAATTGATGGCCCCTGGTGCCACACTCTAATCAGCTAATTATCTCAAACCACCTGCAAAAGCCTTTAAATGGTCTTTCAGTCTAGTTCTATAGGCTACACAATCATGGGGAAGACTGCTGACTTGACAGTTGTCCAAAAGACGACCATCGACACCTTGCACAAGGAGGGCAAGACACAAAAGGTCATCGCTAAAGAGGCTGGCTGTTCACAGAGCTCAGTGTCCAAGCACATTAATAGAGAGGCGAAGGGAAGGAAAAGATGTGGTCGAAAAAAGTGTACAAGCAAGAGAGATAACCGCACCCTGGAGAGGATTGTGAAACAAAACCCATTCAAAAATGTGGGGGAGATTCACAAAGAGTGGACTGCAGCTGGAGTGAGTGCTTCAAGAACCACCACACACAGACGTATGAAAGACATGGGTTTCTGCTGTCGCATTCCTTGTGTCAAGCCACTCTTGAACCACAGACAGCGTCAGAAGCGTCTTGCCTGGGCTAAAGAGAAACAGGACTGGACTGCTGGTGAGTGGTCCAAAGTCATGTTCTCTGATGAAAGTAAATTTTGCATTTCCTTTGGAAATCAAGGTCCCAGAGTCTGGAGGAAAAGAAGAGAGGCACTTCATCCACGTTGCTTGAAGTCCAGTGTAAAGTTTCCACAGTCAGTGATGGTTTGGGGTGCCATGTCATCTGCTGGTGTTGGTCCATTGTGTTTTCTGAGGTCCAGGGTCAACGCAGCCACATACCAGGAAGTTTTAGAGCACTTCATGCTTCCTGCAGCTGACCAACTTTTTGGAGATGCAGATTTCATTTTCCAACAGGACTTGGCACCTGCACACAGTGCCAAAGCTACCAGTACCTGGTTGAAGGACCATGGTATCCCTGTTCTTAATTGGCCAGCAAACTCTCCTGACCTTAACCCCATAGAAAATCTATGGGGTATTGTGAAGAAGAAGATGCAATACACAAGACCCAACAATTCAGAAGAGCTAAAAGCCACTATTAGAGCAACCTGGGCTATCATAACACCTGAGCAGTGCCACAGACTGATCGACTCCATGCCACGCCGCATTGCTGCAGTAATACAGGCCAAAGGAGGCCCAACTAAATACTGAGTGCTGTACATGCTCATACTTTTCATGTTCATACTTTTCAGTTGGCCAACATTTCTATAAATCCTTTGTTTTTATTGGTCTTCAGTAATATTCTAATTTTCTGATATGATGAATTTGAGATTTTCATTTGTTGTCATTTGTAATCATCAAAATTAAACAAAATAAACATCTGAAATATATGAGTTTGTATGTAATGTATGAATATAATATACAAGTTTCACTTTTTAAATGGAATTACTGAAATCAATCTACTTTTTCATGATATTCTAATTTTATGACCAGCACCTGTAGATCAAACTGGGTGTGAGGCTCTGCAGCCATTCACCTGAGGATTGGGATGCTGAGATTGTTTCCCGCTGCGATGTGGGGGGCTTTGATGTTATGACAGAACAGAATCAGTGTGATGAGTAGGTAATCAATGTGGGATTTGTGCACCGGCAGAAAGACCATGGGTATTTTTTTCTGCAAAGAAAAGAACAGATTCTCTGTAGACAAAACAATATGAAGACGTTTTAATCTGTTTCCATTGAATCTTGAGCAGTTACCACAAATAAAGAATGAAAAAAAGAAGTCGAAGGAAAATTACACAGATAAGACGCAATTGAAGCAGTCGCATTAGTGAGACACTGGTTGCTATATAAGTCTGGACGCAAAATGCACACTTCTGCAGAGATTTCTGAGTTCACCGTGTGGGTGGATAATAGACAGGCAGATTAAACGAGATGTAGAAACAAAGGGACAAATGAAAGCATATTCAAACATGGATTAGTCCAAGTTAACTCATAGATATGGATGAATATAGACAGGGTTAGACAGCTGGAAGAACTGATGAATGAAAAACCAGGTGAAAGATGAAAGGAGATAATTTATCGTCTCTCTAAGGACACTTGTTTTTCTTGCACATTATGTGCCCGTTCTGAGATGGCTGTCTCAATGGATTTATAATGATAATAAAAGCTTCATAAGGAAGAGTAAATCTACACATCAGCAACTAAGTCAATGAAGCAATTCTTGTCTTTTTGTTAAGTCATAAACCATAATGATTTTAATGACATGTCTGTGGTAATAATGCTAACCTCTGAGGCAGCTTTCTTGACCATTTCAAGCTGTCCTTTGTGGATCTGGATGCTCCAAAAGAAACCATTAAACAACCTCAGAAGAACCCACCCTGTCAGCCTGAAAGAAGAAAAACAAAAAATAGTTTTATATCCATGGTGAAACCAATCAACAAAATGAAGATATTGAATCCTTGGATAGTGAGGATTTCTTTTTTTTTCTTTTAAACTGAATGATCCAGGAACCTAATAAATGCTGGGGAAACATTGGCCACCATCTCTTGGAGGAAGGCTCTGGCTTTCTGCTTCACTTTACTGACAGCCTTATGGTCATGGCCAGGCTGTCCTACCACAGCATCTGCCTCAGTTGCAACCTTCAAAATAGCAGCTTCCACCCTGCAGATAACAATAACAAATATAATTATTAAAAAAAACATGCTAAAAGCAGTTATTATTACTCTCCTTTCTCTACACATAACAGTTAACTGTTACACAACTAGATGGCTCATTTGACTTTCCCTATGCAGCGTTCGCAAAAACAAAGGTTACCATCCCAGTAAAGGGTTACATTGACTCCTACCTGCTGCTGTTGAGCACATTGTCGACCACGTTCCTGGTAAACATGTCCTTGTTGACGTCTCTCTCCGTAACAAACAGCACATAACTGAGCCTACGTGCCAACCAGCCCCGCTGCCTACAACATCAGACCAAAAAACAAGAAAAACGCTTCATCTTCATCATGTTGAAAATGCACACAGAAATATCAGTGTTTACATTAGCTGAAGCAATCAATAACTAGAATACAGTGATGTCAGAAAATGCACTAGCTTTACTGATATCCTCTTATTTTCAGGTTACTGTGTGTGCCACCACCATATACAGTCAAAACTAACACTACCAACATTTTTGTTTAAGACTGACTGAAGTCTATCTTCATCTGATAAATCTAACAGCACACCCATACCTACTGACATTAAATTACAGCTATTATTTACTTGAATAGAATGTAAATTTTTTTGGTATTCTGAAAAAAAAGGAAAGCTAGTTTTTTTTCAGAACTGTTTGTCATTCAAATATATATTTAAATTAAAAGAGAAACTGTCCTAGCTGCTGTTGCTCCCTCAATGTTGGAGATAGAACCCTCAAAATGTGAGCCATTTAAAGCATAGCATAAACTTTAGGATGCAGGGAGACTTTTTGACTCTGTTGATTAACCTGAACCAGTACGTTTATTTCTGTATGAGCCAAACAATGAATAAGTCATATAAAATGCTACACTTCATCAAACTTCAATGTAGCAGAGGTTTATTGAAGAATGCAGCTTGCGTTTCTCAAATTAAATGTACCTTTAGAATTAAAATGATAAACATGCATCCTAAGTGAAGAGTTATCAGAGCAATATGGTTGTTTTTTTAACAAAGCTAACTCTGAGTTGAAGCAGCTTATGTATAGAGTATGCTACAAGGGAGCTTCTAATGTTGCATAAGTGTAAATATAAATCAAAATAATAAAAGATGCATAGACCTGTGTTAGGTTTTCGTTTCTTTGCAGTTTACATAACGATAAAAAAAATATCTTATAGATGTAAAATAGTAAATTTTTATTTTACTGTATTTACACTAACCATTATCCTGTTTAAGATTATGTTTGTCTCAATTTTCAACGTGGATGCATGTACAGTGTCAACTGACAAACACTTTAAATTATTAATCAAACCGCCTTTCCGTTGCGGCACAGATCAGGCCGTTCGACATAAAGCCATTCATTATATACATTGCTTAGAAGCAAAGTGTTTGCCTGACTTTATAATTCAAAGGAGAAACAAGGCCTAAAGACATCAAAAGTCCCCAGTTTCATCTCTTATATCGCAGTTAGTTTGTTCTTCTTTCTGCAGTTTAGGGCTGTTATAAATAGAGGTTTGTGTAGATGTGACTTTGCATACTAATAAAGGGGAAGATCCTCTTCTGTTTACCTAGTGTGGGTCTCATTGATGTAGATGACGTTACGTAGGCCCAGAGATGGGATGCTGGGGTTGAACAACTGTTCCTACAGGAGGAAAAAACATGGATATGATTTGAATTATTATAACTTTAATTGGTTATATTGGTCTCATATCCTAAAGTCAGACTGAAAATAAACATGCTAAAATTTCTGTGGCCTTTATGTTATGTAACACAACCAAAAACATACAAGTATCTTGTTTTTTAATTTAGAGTAGACACTTACTGTGAAGGGGGGAAAAAATGTAATACCTGTTAATCTACATTTTTTACCAGTGAGGCAGGCTCTACCATTCCAATGTAGCTGTGATTAAATTTTTAATTGACCTGCTTCAATCACAACCTCTGCACCATCCTTTAAGTTTTCGCTTTTTCTTCTCATGTGTGATTTTTCCTCAATAAGTTTGCAGCAAACCTCAAACATCTTAGCAATTTTCTTGCAACTCTTCCATAAAATAAATGCAAACCTGTAAGATTTTGCTCCCTATTAAATCTTTTATTGGTGTAATTTTAAGGTATCTTTTGCTTTAGAAATAATAAAAACAGCTGATTGAATAAAAATAGTCCCCAAAAAACTGATCCCTTTTTGACACAGCAAGAAAAAAAAAAGAATTGCTTTGAATTAAAATTTCATTTTTTATATTATAGAACAAAATGGCCACATGATTTTATATTTAATAAAAACAGGATGTGGGTACTTTTACCACATACTGGCTGCCCCTTAGGTTCTGTTAAGTCTTCCGCATGTCTGACTTACAGTTGCAGCAGGAAACACACATTTCTTTGCAAATATCCAACATAACACATTAAAGAAACATGAAAAAAGTCAAGTTAAGTGAGTAACTACTGTTGGTACTAATCCGTCACTTAAGAATTTCTTTTTTACCTCTAGGAAAGACCAAAGAATTTTTAACAATACTAAAATATGTTTCATTTTCAAAGGCAACTGGCCACTTTCTGTCTTAAATGTGATTAATTTGAGGTAATGGAGGAATAGGCAGCTGTCGAGGATCTTTACCCAGCTCTGAGGAGTACAGGAGTGACAGCACCGGCCGACAAATGGCCTCTTTCTGTTCAGCAGGCCCTCCTTCCACGTCCTGGCAACAGAGCGCAGAACTGATGGACTGGTGCTGCGGTCCTTGGAAAAACAGCCACACAGAAATCTTTGTTAGGATGAACGCAGAACACATAAAAAGACTCTTTGAAGGATCACATTACAAAAGTTTGGTCTGACTAATCTGTGATTCTATTCAAAGGTATGATAAGAGCTTACGACATCTTCATTGGGATGTTTCCAGCGGTTGCACCACTGCTCTCCGTTGCCGACCTGCAGCAACAAGCCGTCAGAGAGCTCCATCCTCGCCGCTGCCCCTCTCACTCCTTATGGATCACGCACGCAGCAGATGCTGGCAGGCTGGGGAGATTCCACAAAAATTTTATAACTCTGATCAAATTATATTTAAGCCACTTTAGATCAGTCTTTACTAAATAAATTCTTCTTCGATCCAATAACGATACGATTGCTCATAATTCTGATTTTTTCTACATTGCCTTTTAAAATATATTTTTTACCACTTTAAATTTTTCACACTTTATTACATTACAACTAAAGATTTTTTATAATGTTTGCAGGAATTTTACCAAAAGATTCATAAAAATAAAAAATAATAATAACTAGAAAAAGCTGTTTCGGAGAAACATCAAAGTGGGAATGCTTTTGCTGAATGAAAAAAGCTGAAATTAACTGCAGAACATATAAAAATGTGATAGGAAGTCATTAGAAACTTCAAACTGCAGAAAACAATTGAATCATCTGAAGATTTTATAGGGTAGAAACATCTGGCAGTAAAATGGCAGAAACAAACTCATCTTAAAAGCTGCACAGTCAAACCATACATGATATCAAAAAATGTTGATCAGCATAAAGAAAACAGTGTCATCATTTGAGGATTGAAAATTAACAAACCTATGTGCAAGACTAACCAGGAGAAGCAGAGGAAGGACAGAGAGAGAAGCTTACAGAAAGAGAGCTAATACCACTTAAGGAGCTGAATTTATAAAAAAAAAAAAAACTAACCTGCATGATACGAGCTGCTGTGGTGATGAAAGCACCGTTGGCAGGCTTAGGCTGCATGTTACTAGGTTAGCAGATGCTT